GGCTGAGGACCTTCTCAGAAGTAGACTAAAGGTCTTTCTTAAATCTTTAAAGCAAGGTTATGTATCCCAGGGTGGATTTTGGGCACCAAGTCAAAAATGTAACTTTGTGTATCATTCTTGTCATAGTATTTTGTGTTCCAGAATAAAGAAAGAGGACAAACTTGGTGATTAGCATCTGCCGAGAGTAGCTTATAGCTGGAGTCATCAAATGGTACCATTTATTTTTAATTGTGGTTAAAAAAAACCCCACATAATATAAAGTTTACCATCTTAGCCATTTTTAAATGTACAGTTAGGTAGTGTTAAGTACATTCACATCATTTGCGACCGATCTCCAGGTGTCATTTTAATGCTGGTAAGTAGTCTGGGGGCATACTGACTAGGACTGAGGCTCATGGAGGAAGAATGTGTTGTTAAACCATATTCCAAAGGATGAATTCCTGTCCAAACGAAACTGACCTTTTTAAACGGTCTTATTCCCTTATAGACAAACATATATTAGTTACATAAAAATGTATTTAGAATAGAAATATGACTATTCATTTAGTTAACTCCATTATATATGAAAGAAGTCTTTGGGAAAGTCTGATATTGTTGGGTGGAGAAAGGACTGTCTTTTGGATATCTCACATGAAGTGACTCCTCATATTGAATTGGTAAGATACGTCAGGAAAATAACCTGGGAAATAAGATGAATTAAACTTCTGCTCTCAGCAGAAGGCTGAAGCCAGACAAATATGTGTTTATTATTCAGGGTTTATTATGTCATTTAAAATATATTTAATCATATATTTAGTATTAAGTACTATTTCATAATATATTTAGTATATTGGATATATTTAAGGTATACATGATGATTTGCTGTGATTACTACAGTCAAGCTAGTTAACATATCATCTCCTCCCATATCTACTAATTTGTGTGTGTGGGTGATGAGAACACCTGCAACCTACTGTCTTAGAGTAACTATAGTCATCATGCCTGTACATTAGATATCTAGATTTGTTCAGCCTATATAACTGCAATTTTCTGCCCTTTCACCAATATCTCTCCTTTCCCCCCACTCCCTATTATGTGATTTTTAAGCAAACAAACTCCCCTTACCTTAAAAAAGAATATTATATGGTTTATTTTCACTTCTAGTACCTGTTCTTTTCTTTCATAACACTCATAATAATTTGGTACTCAGCGAATTGTCTTTATGCTTAATGTATATTCCCTCTATATTCTCAACTGGTAGCATGGAGAATGACACATGGGTAGGCACTGAAGAGATACTTGTTGCTGGAATACAATAAACACTTGGTATGTGTTACATCATTCACCCAAAATTTACCGAGTGCTTACAGTGTGTCAGGTACTGGGTAAGGCTCTTTCCCAGGGATGCACCTTCACAGAGTAATCAGCCAGTTACATTTTTTACATAAAAAGAACTACAGGTTAAGGTCTTAATACCAATTGCATCAGTGTAGACTACATACTTTGTTTAAGTCACATCTCCTAAGCCCTTGTCTTCTGAGCGATACAGCTCACCTTATTTTTAAGTATTTTTAAGTAAGCAATTTCTATACACTTTGAGGTCATCCTAAACTACACAAAGTATTCTATAAGTAGTGAAAAGTGGAATTCTCACTGCTTAGATCTACATACTACCAGTATGTCACAACGCCTCCTTCTGCATGCTTGTTTTGTTGGACCCAAAGAAAAGTACCAGATGACCTCAGGCTTTGGGTCACTTTATCATATGTATTGAGCATTAGCTGAATAATGATTCGATATTTGTAAGGAAACTGCTTTGGAAGAAAAAACATAAACTGAGTTTTTCTTTGGCTGCTTAACTCTACTCATGCTCTACAACTGTAAAGGCAATACGAGCGTGAATGAAACCCTTGGAAGAGCTTTAAAGACTAACATGCTCCTTTACAGTTTCCCTCCAAGTTTTGTGTATGTTCTCTAGGCTGAGCAGACAATGTCAGAAACCACAGAAAGAACTTTAATCTGGTTAGAATAGTTGGTGAGAGGGAGAATGCTCTGGTGGTTTAAGGGAATAAAGGAAACCAAATCAAGATAAGGAAACACACTAAACAAGTTATTCGCTAAATTGGTTTACATTCGGCTCACTAATAGATTTTCTTCTAGGCATGTCTGTGAGATGCAAAATTTTTAAAATGTGACTAATATCACTTTACTAGGGTTGATTAAAGAATGCAACTATGCCAAGCACTGGGTAGATTTTCCCTGGTAGACTACAGGAGCATGAACAATTTGGTTCTGTCGATTGCAAGCCAGTAAGACAAATAACTGAATGAATGAATGAATGAATGAATGAATGAATGAATGAATGAATCAGTCAATGAATCAATGATTTAATCAATCAATGGTGAGATCTGCCTTCCTGAGACTGTTTCATTCAAAATCAACCATGTGAGAAGTATTACAAAAATACAGCTACAATTTATAGATGATTCTTTTGTAAAGGAGGGGGAAATAATCTTAAGAGAAAAAGAAAGGAAACAAATCTTTTTATAACACCCTGTGTACTGCATTTGTGAGTTTTGAGGCCATTTCCCTAAGACTGTGGGAGTAAACACACAATTTTCATTAAATGTGCCTTTCCCATAACTGGTCCATAAGCATTTCCCATGACTCTGCCGTTGAGTATCTTGGCTGAAGGAGGATCTGGCCATTAGAAGGAGGGCTCTAGATATGCTGAGTCCCAGCCGTGCTGAGAGACTTGGCACCTTTATATGCTACTTCCTAATACCAACCCCGGCATAAAATGTCATCAGAAGCCTGCATAAACATTGGACTTAGATTCACATAAATTATTTCTGTCCTAAGGTGCTTTCTGCCAGAATTTAGTAAAAACAACACTTTGAGTAAATAGAATTGGCGTATAAATGTAAGAATATTAATCCAACAAAATGCTCATAGAAAAATATAATCAAAAGTACACATTCGTAAATCTTGCAATGATGTGAGAGGTTTATCTTGTGCCTCTGAGTTTTTATTGAATATTTCCATAGAGTTCCTTTAAGCTGACACTGCCAAAGTGCTTTGAATTATCAGTTGCTTTGTGGAATTATAAAGTCTTTGAGTTTCATTAAAATGCTTAGGAGTCATTTTAATAATCATATGTGTGATTAGCGCCTGTTTAGTGCTGGATCTACAAATTCATTTTAAAAGTAAACATTGGGACAATGAAATATAATGCCAGATATGATTGCTGCTGTCAGCAAAAACATTGTCTTATTTTATTAAAAATCGCCAACAAAATGCCGTGAACAGAAGATACAGTTTCTATTTATAGATATTTTCTACTCTACTGTATTATGGTATCTGCACACCACCAGGCTATATCTAGCGGAGTTTTCATTTTGCCTCGGGTGTGTACATAAATAGAGAGGTACAGAGTCTTTTTATTACATGTGAGCACATCTTATTATGTACAGCTCCCCCAAAGTCCTATTCGGATATTTGCTCTAATATAATAGTGCTCACACCATCGGTGCTGAGTATTTATAAGTGGATGAAGATTTCCTGAAAATAATGATAATTTAGCTATTGGCAATAATAACATTATAACATTCTCAGTGATCCATTTTGGCTTTAAGTACTTATTAAATAATATTTATTCCTAAATTATGAACTTATAAAATTAAACGAGATTGCAACATGCAATAAAAACACATTTCTCTCTAAACTCCAATTGACTCCATTTCTCACAGATACCTCTCCTTGTGTTCATTCTGCTTTTACTGTTTTCTACCCTCTGTGAGCTCTCGGCTCTTCTCTCTGATGTGTTGATATGCTTTCCCCCAAAGCCACTCTCTTTTTCTACTTTCCCTACCCACTCGTCCCCTTCTTGTTATTCTCTCATTCCCTACTGATATGGGAATAATAGGATCCCAAGGCTGTCCTTACAGTATAATTAAAGTATGAATTTCCAGGAGTTGGAAATTGCAGGCCATTTTTATTATGCTTCTATAATAAAGCCAGGTAACACTGAGAGAATTAAAATGGCTTTTTCCTAGTAGATAACTTGGTAAAGATTTTTTTCCCCTTGGTTCTATTGTTTTAAGAGACTGGGAGCTGAAAATGGGAATAGATACACCAATTCTTTTTCTGAAAACACCTCTATCTTTTACATGATATATATCCCCCTAGATCCTGGGAATATGTTGTAAACTTGTAACAGATGGTGATGAAGCTTCACATTTTTATACAATACACTTTCTGAGATTCTGCATCTACTGTATGTATCTTCCAGGGAAAATGACCTTGAATGAATGAAGTCATAGTCTGAGGGAAAAACACCCCACAGATAGACCAGCAAAGAAATGATGAGTCAATTGGGTTTTGATTTGTTCCCCGTGGTAAGATGAAATAATTTCTTTTTTTTTTTTTATTCTTATGTTAATCCCCATACATAAGATGAAATAATTTCCGATGAAAAACAGAATACTGGAATATAGGAATCAAAGGTCGTCTTGACACTAGAGGTGTATCTGTTAATTGTTCCGGGAGAACCAGTTAGCCATATTCTATATTGAACAGAAACACATGGAAGACGGCATATCACTGTTTGTGAGTAGGAATGCTATTTGCTTCACTTGGGTAATGTTGGGGGCTTACCAAAAATTGTTCTGGCACAACATCTACCAACATGAATGTTAGGAGGGTTCTAACACTGTGAGTGCTGATATTTTATGAATGTTTTATCACTGGCTTGAAAACAAGAGGTTTGCAATTGAATCAACAGCATGTCAGACAGACAAAATATTAAAAAAAAAAAAACAAAACATTAGTGGGAATTACTGATGTCCCTATTGTAAAAACAAACTGAAGTTAATAAGAAACTTGATCCTCTTAACCGATTAACAAAAGTCAAGTTTTAATTGCATGGCTTCCTAGACAAATCAAAGAGTGCTGTTAACTTGAGCATTGGTTGTTTAGAGGGTGCGCTAATGGGGGAAATTGCTGCATATTCAGTTACCCACCTCTTTTTTCGACAGCTTCAATGCATTGCTTTACAAACCGTGGAACTGTGGAATTTTCACGTTCACACACTGTGTGCAGATGAGAGCCAAAAATTTGATCTGCAAAAGAAACAAAGATGAGCTTCATTAAAATCCAAGATTGCGTTGTTCTTTAATTTGATTCTGTTTCCATACCCACTGCGTGCTGAAATCTGTGTCTTGCATAGGAATTGATTTTTTGCTTTAATTCCAAAGGGTCTATTGCAGAGATACAAAGGCCATAAGTCCCTCCTTTATAGAAGAGGACCCTGGGCCCAGAGAAAGAAAGCTAACACTCCGCCATCGATTAGGCTGGGATGACAGGGCATAACTTTGTTGTTTATAAAATAGTGACAAGGAATTAAGAAAACTTCTACAAAGTAATTAATCTTAATGAATTGGTATCTTCAGTGTTTTAGAAGAAATTTGTCAATGATCACCAAAATTATAATTTTATCAGTATATTTAGAAGATTCGTTCAGTGGGTCAATGATCTTTGAAGAGGCAAGTTCCAGATTTACTTTGAAGTGGATTTCTTAACATCTCTCCTGCCTTGAATGCCCTTCCTCGACATCTAAGTGTCCCCTTCCCTTTATAGCTCAGCTCTGACCACACTTTCTCCACAAACTCTTTTCTTCTTATCTCAGTGTTGTGTCTCCTTTAATATCAGCTCTTTGGAATACCAGTTCCTCAGGATGTTAATAGGCAATTTGGGGGGGAAAGGCCTATGATCAAAATGGTTTAGCAATGTTGGGTTAAACAAAGTTAAACAGGTTTCTTTCATGTGTATTCTTACAGCTTGTGACATGCCATTCTGCACTGGGAATCCCCACAAAGGGCTGGAGGATGCACTATTTCCCAAACTTATTTGAGTAAGATCCTTTTATTTCAAACGGCATTCCTCCAGACTAAGGCTTCTGAGAATACACTCTGAAATCCTAGCCTGGTCTTCTCATTGGGAACATGATTTATCCTACCTTGCATTTTGTATTTACATTTATAATAGATGGAATGTATTTTCTCAAAGCAGATTTGGAGTGCCTACAGGCTCTATGTGTTTGTATGGTCACCAGGGCTTAGCACAGACTCTGGCCCACAGGATTTGCTCATAGATATTTTTTATTGCAGTAAAATATACATAACATACAACTTACCATTGTAACCATTTTTACATGGACAGTTCAGTGGCATTAAGCGCATTCTTTTCTTAAAAAATTTTTTAAAGACTTTATTTATTTGTCAGAGAGAGAGAGAAAGCAAGCACAAGCAGGGGAGAGCGGCAGGCAGAGGGAGAGGGAGAAGCACGCTCGCCGCTGATCAGGGAGCCTGATGCGGGACTCGATCCCAGGACCCTGAGATCATGACCTGAGACGAAGACAGACATTTAACTAACTGAGCCACCCAGGCGCCCCAAGCACATTCTTGTGTAATCTTCACCACCATCCATTTCCCAATTTTTTAAAAACAGCATAGATTTTATTACTGAGAATGAATCAAATATTTAGTAGGTTCAAGGGCTTCCCATCTTGCTCAAAATGAACTCCAGTTCCCTACTGCAATTTCTAAGGTAATACATGACCTGCCCTTCCACCCATTGAGTTCATTTGCTCCCTCTCCCCTCTCTCCCCGTCATCACTTGCCTGCTGGCTGTCCATATTACTGATTCTTGTCTATGCCAAGCCCACTTCTGCCTCAGGGACTTTGCACTTATTATGACCTCTGCATGAAACTCCATTGTATTAGGTCTCTTTTGTAGCCTTTCCTACCCACTTTTTTTTTTTTTTTCTAAAAAATGGCCGCACTGCAATAGGAACTCTCCATGATACTTTCCTGTTTTACTTTCCTTGGAGCACTTATCTCTGCCTGGCATATTGGATTGATGTGCTTACTGGTTAGTTTTCCCCTGCTTAGAATGCAAAACCAAGGAGAGTAAAGACTATACCTATTTCCTTTCTTACTGGGTCCCTAGTAAGTAGACAATGTTTGGCATATACTAGAAGTTCAATAAACATTTATTAAAGACATTGTCTTAATCATCAGTGGAGGTCTTCAATGATTTTCAAAAAATATTTGTAGTAGAAGTGGGGAGAAAAATAAAATGCAGCATAACAGATTGGTAAGTGAAATATTACAAAGGGGCAGTCAAAATGGAATGTGATGAGACTTGAAGGAAGTCATGATTTTCATCCATTTCTTAGAAAAGTTGATGGCTTGAGTTAAGGACAACCTGGCAGGGAGGAGAGTAATTAAGGCTAAAGCACAAACATATTTCAGTATGAAAATGTACATTTTCATCTAAGAGACAGAAAGATGATAAACCCCAAACATATCAACAGAGTGTAGAGAAGTGGGAAATAATCATGTGTATTTGCTTTGAATCCTTGGTCAAGTAACAAAGACTTGTTCAAAAACAGCCACCACTATAAGGAAAAAAAAAAATGACATAAACTATTACCTAAGAAAAATAACCCACAACTTCAGTTGGAATAATTTAAATTGGCTAGAGATTATAGTCAGGAAGAAATGCTATAAAGTATAAAAACTTCTAAAGGAAATTATTATTCAAATCAATTTCACAAATATTTATTGAGCATGTGGCAGGACACCAGACCAGCCTTTGGTACCCACAGAAGACTTCCCAGAGAAGAAACAAATCCTCAAGGAAAAGTAAGATTTAAGTGAAGAGGTAAGAGAGGGGACAAAAGGCCATTTAGGGAAGATGGAAGGAAGATATACAAACACATCAGTGATGGGGAAAAATGGCAGGAAGAATGAGATGTGCTGAGGGATACATTCACTCATTCTTATTTAGAGAAATCTTGATGTATTAAGCTTTAAAAGAAGATGAAGATGTGTTATAAGAGCCTTAAATATTTTAGTCAGGTAGGTTAAATTATTTGAAAGTGTGCAGACACCAATGATTTCTTATACATACACTATTCCCCTCATGACTTCTTGTTTTTAGAGTCCATTCGTAAGATAGAGGCTGAAAATGTTCCCTATTGACTTCTGTCTTCCTTGCAGATCTGAGTAATTAGACAGCTATAATCAGTCAAATGTAAGGAGAAATGACTTGGGAAGCTACAAGAGATTTTTTTTTTTTTAACCAGCTAAAAGGAGAGGCATGTATGAAGGCACTCTTTCTTTTTTCTTCCTGCTTTGGATATCGTTGTGCAATCATGTGACACTGGAGCTACTGCAACAATCTTATCACCATGAGACACCAAGCTTGCAGACAAAAGCTAACATGATTAAAAAAGTCACAAAAAACCCCAGACCTCAAAGACATTGTTGAAGTTCTAAACCTAAATCATTTTTTTTTCTAGATTTCTTATTTAGTGAGATAATATAAGTCATTTTTAACCGTGCATTCTATCCCCTACAGCCAAAACATTCATAACCAAATGGAGGCACAGATTGTGAAGAAGACTGAACACAAGGAGATTAGTTAAGAGGCTAATGTGATCACCTAGGAAGGTGTTATGGAGACCAGAGTCAGGATAGAGTTGTGGTAAATTTAATCATTGTTCATGATTCTTCTCATCTTCTCTGAATTAGATCTGTACATTCACCGCTTTTGCCATGTGACTGTGTGGGAAAACTCACTACAGTGGGCAACATTTATTTCTCCCATTTCACTGATGTTGGGCTTGGCTGTAGACTTGCTTTGGCCAATGTACTGTGAGTAAAAATGACCATGTGTCAGTTCCAGATGTAGGTCTTAAGATGCACTGTAGATTTCTACTCACCTGACTGCTTTTCTGTTATTGCCAAGACAAGAACTTCCCTGGGTAGCTGTTGCCCTTTCAGTCTGGGATCCAGAATAAATACATATGGCAGAGACTGAAGCCAATGCTCAGTTAGGAGACAAGTCTAGTCAGACCTTCTGCTTAAAGTAGAGCTGTCCAGTCAAACCTGCCCCAGGCTACTTGACCCACAGACACATGAGAAGTAAGTGCTTCCTGCTGTATGTCACTGAGATTTTGTGTTTGTTTGTTATGCAGCAATAGCTTACTGATAAAGATGATAACAGGAGTCCAGGTTGTTGGTGACCTAAGCTACGCTATGAGAATGACAACAAAGAGAATTGACAGGACATGGAAACTGAAATAAATAGATTAAAACAATTCTAAATTTGCTAGGATTGTGGAATCATACATCAGTTTAGATTCAACCCAAGGAGGAGTCCCAAAGGAAATTTCTCCTCCCTTAAAATGAACTCATTATGCTTTACCTAATATGACGGCACTTTTTACTCTGTATTCTCTCCCTATCAATTCAATTCTATCAAATTCAATTCAGTGCATATTTCGTTAGCACCTGCCATGTGCTGGATATTGTAAAGAATACAAATATTGATTCACTCATTCAGTAGCTATAACATGCCCACTATAAGCCAAACACTGTGCTCTTGCCGGAAAATGCAGTGATGCATGAAGCATGATCTCCTACAGTCTGGGGTGGTGGTGGTGGATAACTCTCACAAGCATTTATAATATAATGTGATTAATGCTATCTCAAGGCTATGTAATAATAGCAGTGAAGCTTCATTGTACCCTTAAACTAAGCCAGGCATGGTTCAAAGTATTTTATGTATTCTAACTTATTAAATCTTTACATGAATCCTCAACCCTTTGGTGGTAGATACAATTAACCTGATTTTATGGGAGAGAAAACAGAGACCCCAAAATATTGAATCCTATGTCCAAAGTTACAAAGTATCAGGGTTCAGGGAAAGAAAAAAGGTAAGAACCTGACCTGTGACAATGGAAAGAAGGGGTGATTTTGTAGGATTTGTTAACTGGATACAGAAGGTGAGTCAACCCACCAGAGAGAGGTCTTCCTAGTTCCTTGCTTGAGTAAAAGAGACTGACATGCAGAAGGAACCCTGAAGGTTTGGAGAAGAATAAAGAGATAGGTATTCAAGAATGAGGATAAGCATTTCAGATGCAGAAGAATGATGGTGGGAGATAAAGGTGAAAAGTTCTCATTGAATTTTGACAATTCAGAGGCTATTGGTGACCATGAGGAAAAATGGCGTTAGTAGAAGAATGAAGCTGAAAAGCAGATGGTGGTGGACA